TAAAGACTTCTTCAACAGTCAAGGAGAGACAATAAAGGAGGACATAATATTATCGCTATTGTAATTAGATGAACTTCAGAAGCCGGAGATAAATTGGAGGATCTCAGCCAAAAGGCCTCCATTCCTACCTGCCTGTCAGATGAGTCTCTGCAGTGAAACTCGCTCACGATAGATTTGTATTCACAACCAAAATAGGATGGTCCACCTGGGAGTTGTAGAGAACTCCCAGAACCTGACTTGTCTATTGTCTACATCAGTGCAAGAGATGTAGACACCAGAAGGTGCTCCTGGGCTCCTGAGGTCAGGTCCTTCTGGCTAACAGAAAAAAAATATTGCCATTTTTCAGATTCCACACATTTCTGAGGAATAAGACTGAAAATGAGAAGTTTTTTACAATAAATGTCTAGATGTACGACCCTTCATTTCACCTCTCTGTGTGCAATGAAACAGTTAACAGCATTGACATTTCATGATTATCCTTCAGTTATCGCTGCACTGAGATGAACTTGATAGCTCACACCTCTTCATGTTTCTCATTCTCTGCAGACCCACAGAGAGTGAGACCTTTGCTGCACTAGTTATCCCCTTTTACAGCTACAGCAAGTGATCAGGTCAGCTCAGATATAACATGGAATTTCACCCTGAGAGAAGTAGCAGTGCAACATAACAGCGTGTTTCTGAGCCTTCATTTGAATAGCTAAATGTTGACTTTTAAGGCATATATACTCTAGTGCATTGGTCATAAACCAAGCAGCTATTACAGAGGAAACTTCAGCAACTGACTCAGCCATTTTACAGTATTAAAGCACCATTGCAAAAAAGAGTGGTGATGTGACAAGTCTGAAATAAAACATGCAGCACTGAACCTTCCCTCTTGCGCAGAGGAACACATTTGTTCACTTAGTTTTCCTGCAGAACAGACACACACCCTCCAGGTTTAGTGTAATTCCCAGAGGGAAGGGGAGATTGTTTCTTTTCTTAGAGCTGCTGAGTACACAGCCAAGAGTGTGGGCTGGGACAGGCAGCATAAAGGAGGGCAAAAAAAGCAGATGGGGAGAACTTGGCAAACGATGTGGCTGGAGCAGACCCATGAGAAGTCAAAGGACTGATGAAAAAAGAAGGTCAGAAAAGATCATGTGAAATCTGTGCAGACTGACAAGTCACCAAAAGCTGGTGGAGAAGAGAGGACTGGGGGAAAGAACCTGTTCTGTCAAGGCACAGAGAGCAGGGAAGATTTATTTTAATGCTTTTTTTCTTCATGAGTATAGCTAGCAATTCAGAGTTTCCCACAGACTCTTAACGTTATTACCCAGGCCCAGCTCCATTTTGCTTGTGAGTGACAAGATTTAGCTCTCGCAGTTCAAAACCTTACATCATCTGAACTTGATTCTATGCTCTGTGGCAAAAAATCCCCTTTTGCATACGCTTTCTTGGGAGAGTGGCAAATGTGCTGGAAAATTGGTGCACCACGTGATTGAACATCTATAGAAATGGAAGCACTGGAATGATCCACATGGCTGACAAGCAGGGCTAATGAGCAGATGCCCAGCAGAACTATCAGCCTGACTACACTGGTTTGAGGGCTCAAGCTAGTAGTCTCTGCTCTCTGCCACTCTGCCAGAGTGCTACAGCACTCAGCCATCAAAACATGCTTCCATGCCACATTGAACTGGAAGAGGATCACAGCAGGTGCAGGCTCTGCAGTCCTGCCTTGCTCCCTTGGCATATTTTTCTTTCTCTGCCTTCAACACACAGACAGACTCTCAGAGTTTCAGACAGTTCTTGAGAGAATGCTAACAGGCTAATAATATATGTTTTACAGAAATAAAAGTGTATTCCGTATTCCACCTAAAGAGAAGTCTTTCAAAGTCATTTCAGAAATACTAATTAATCAAACCTCTCAGGATTTTTGGCATAATCATTTTTCATCTGTAAACAAAGTCTAAAGATCATTTTACTAGCAGCATGAATGAGAAAAGAAGCAAAGCAAGGAAGAAAGCACACAATTCATATTTATACTAATGCTACTTATATCCACTCTAGCAAAGAAAGAGGGCAATACAGTGAAAGCAATTTAATTTTATTATGCTTATAAGGCCTCTTGACAATAGTAGGGAGGTGTAAGTAAGGATAGGATAAACAAGATTTTTTACTAATCAATCTACCACCTGGGGGAAAACTCCTGCCTTGCTAAAAGCTTTCTAAAATTAATAACAAGATACAGGGGAATTCAGAATCCTACAAATTGACTGTAAGCCTAAAATTATACTTACACGTGATTCAGCAGATTTAAAACTGACTAATGTGGCTTATAATTTGAAGTGAATGGTACCTGGTTCATTCAGAGGAAAATATGACACAAAGACACAGCAGAAAGCATCACTTTCGTTCCTTTTTTTTTAGTCTTGAAGCACGCAAGTGCAAGTTCCCCGTTACGTTGGGGAATGTGTACGTTGCAATAGGCTGCTTAGGAGACAGAGTTGAAAGGCAAGTAAAATGATACCTCCTTAACACATAAAAAAAAGTGGACACATTTAAATGTGTGTAACGTTCTCGTTCCTGCGTGACATTTGCAAACATTACCCGAAGAAGCCCCAGCCCCAACACACAGGCTGTTCGAATGTTTAGGACTGCTTAGTCATTACTAGATGTCAGCCATGCTGGTGATGTGACTAAGAGCTCTAAGGTTCTTGGCAACATTAAACTGGAAGAGGAAATACTTTGTTCTCCAATTTTCAGAGACATTAAAAAAACTCACATCCAGAATCCACCAGGAGGCAAAAGGCTTCTTTCAGTTCCTTTCCTTCTAAAATTGTTGAGTTTAATACTTCCACCTCATATTTTCTTGAAATGCCATTAAGCAGAAGAAAGATTGTCATTTAAAAACAACTCCAGTGTAATGATGTACCAAAGAACACTGCTGACAGTTGAATTATGGAAACAAGCATTTGTGGGGCTGGTGGGTAATTTGTGTATAGAAAACGGTGTGAATACATAGAGCTTTTCTTCTTCAGCTGTGCTTGGAAACACTAGCAGCAGGAAACAGCTTGGAAACTGAGCAGCAGGAAACTAATAATTATTTCCTTAATTTAATAAAAAATGGGGAGTGGGTGGATTCAGAGGAATACTAACCCTGCCTAATTTTCCTCTTCTACCAGAAAAAACAATCCAATTCATAATTACCTCGACTTCTGTGTTATACACCTGAAGTAACTAGTACATTGCAGCACTGCGGGGCAATATTGCAGCTACATCTCCTTTCAATCTGCAGGATGTAGGTCTAGATTTGGAAATGTCTTTACCCAAAGGACATTTAATGCTCCAAATGAAAAGGCAAAAACTTTTAAAGGAATGTGTAAGTAGTTGAAATGCAGTGAACTGTGTTCATTTTGCAAGTTAGAAATAATTTCCCTGGAACACAGTTAAAGAGAAGGAAAAGTCGTTGAGCTGGAATGGTTCATTTTACTAGATTCCAGAAGATAAGAATTTTAGACAATATCATTAAGGTAAAACCAACTATAGTTTTCTCAAAGAGGCTAATTGCAATGATTTGACTAATAATTTGAAGTTGATGCTCATTAAGACCATGTTCAGGAATTGGGCTTCATATTGCACCAGCCAGCAAAGGTAATAGAATTCCTGGGTGTTTAACTTGTCGTGAACAAACACAGCACAGGGAGGAGCCATAACAGTGGTCTGACTCTCCATCCTTCAATGGTTAAATGTGATAACTTCCAAAAAGAAGAAGAGGACTAAGTGCAAGCTTTTCCACACGGATATCTAGCATTAAGTACATAGTTCATGGATCATGAAGAGATTAAGGGAGATGTTGTGCCTGACTCCAAGCAAGAGTCATCTTTTAAAACCCAAAAGAAGAGTCAGTATTCTAGGAAGAGGAAAACTAAAATAAAACATTTTTAAGCAAATGCAAAACAAAATTCAGGAACAAGGCATACTCACTATTACAGAGTCAACACAGTTGGCACGTCAACTGAAACCAGTTCCTCTGCAATTTAACTTCACAAGCAAGTAGCACAGGGATATGGGCACATTTTAAACCTTTGTACCTGTCACAAAGATGGGCAGGACATACATTCCTGTCTTATGGGGACTGCTCCAGTAAAAGACAATTAAAAGGCACCCCTAAGACATAAGGCAAAAAACTCTCCTCCTACATACAGCTCCACTATTGTTCCATTGTGGTTGTGCCTGAGAGGTGTAAACAAAGCCTTTGCCCACAGCATTGGATTTCCTATGAATGCAGAAGTAAAAGTTGCTTTCTTCATTGGTAGCAGAAGTTCCAGAGAAAAGTAATTATTCTATGGCCAAGTGTAACAGTCAGATTTCTATAATTTCAGCCTGTAACTGGCAACCCACTAGAGGATTTGCCAATAGAAACACACTATTCAGATGCTAATCTGGTTAAGACAATGGGCAGGAGTGGAGTCTTCCTCCAGTGTATTCCTTCAGTAAGATGAGCCCCAGTGAGTAATTTTTTGATAGTGTTGAGAGGGCAGGCTGCTGTAGGCAACTGGGTCCATTATCCACAGTGGTAATACAAGATGACAGACAATTTGCAGATGAGCACAAACAAGGCCTTACCCTGGTGTATAACATTTCAGGTAATTTAATGGTGAAGTGGAGCCAGAACCCCAGTGCTATGAATGACTTATGGGATATGCTCTCAAACTATAGAGCTGAGTAGATTTAGATTAGATATTAGGAAGATGTTCTTTACAATGACGGTGGTGAAGCACTGGAACAGGTTGCCCAGAAAGGTAGTGGAAGCCCCATTCCTGGAACCATTAAAGATCAGACCTAACCAGGCACTGAGCAATCTGATCTAGTTAAAAAGGTCCCTGTGCACTACCAGGTGGGGCTATTCTAGATGACCTTTAAAGGTCCCTTCCAACTCCATACCTTCTCTGATTCTTTTATGACATCCCAGGACAACTTCTCAGACATCCTTTTCCTTCTTTCTCTCCTTCAGAGTTCAAGAGCGTGTCAGTGACCGTAGGCAAGAGCCCTGTGTTTCAATGCACAAAAAAATCAAATGTAACCATGATAACATGGAAAATAAGCCCCAAGGTTGGAGGCCCCTGCACCTTGGGATACAGAGCTGATCACAACAAGACAGACAGAACCAACTGCAGTGACAGCATGAACTGGAAATCCAGACCAGACTGGGATCCTGCCCTTGAGATACAGCAAGTGGGTATTGCCCACGAGGGAAATTACACCTGTGAACTAGTAACAGTAGATGGGAATTTCCCCACAACCTACCTCCTGAGTGTGCTGGGTAAGAGACTCCTTCCTCATTTTACAGCTCTCCAAAGGACCATGTCTGGGCCTGGACTTACAAAGCTGCTCTCCCACGGCACCTGGGAAAGCAGGCAGTAAGAAGAGGAGCTCTCTTGCTGGGATAAAGTGTCATGCATTGTGCTGTGTCTCCCTTCTCCTTGTTTCCCAAAACTCTTCTCCTTTCTGCTACTCCCTTTTCCACTGTCTAGTTAGAGATGAGATGTGTGAAGCAATTTCCAACATACTAAAAGAGAATCCTGCCTACCCATCCTGTTATCCCATAGAATCCACCACTAATACATTAAGAGCACTAACGCATGTGAGAGTAATACTTCTGAGTGCTGAGATGTCCTATTAAATGTGGGATGTTCTTATCCAGACAGTAGAAACAGACATGTTTCCTCTTGTGCTGGCTTTCTGAGACATTTTACACAACATGTATGATGGCTGCTTAGGACATAAGTCTAATTCACCCCTGTACTTGGGATGATTCCCTACTGCAGTATCCAAGGATACTGCCTCTGATGGTAGATGGCTGTGGAAACTCACCTGGATGGGGGAGAGTTATCCAAAAGAAAAGAAGAGGCACAACCTTGTCTCTTGTGACTTTGGCCCATGTTGTTGCAACGGGAAGGCACCTCTAACCATGTTTGTGTCTTTTCACTGTGTTCCTTCTGGGTAGAGAACAGGAACATCCGATCCCAGCAGCTGCAAACTAACTCCATGTATCTCCCCTTCCTGATGCTTTCCAGTCCCCCCCAGGCTGAGCCTGTACTGTGATGGCCACGGGAGCCACGTGTGCGAGGCAGCAGCAGGGAAGCCGCCTGCCTGGGTCTGGTGGGTCCCAGGGGGCAACTCCACCCCCAAGGAAGAAAGCCATGGCGATGGGACAGTGACTGTTCTCAGCAAGTTCACGGCCCACAACACCAGCATGACTAATGCAACCTGTGTTGTGTTCCACCCAGCAGGGAACCAGAGCAAGTCCCTAACCTGTCATCCCTCAGGTGAGCTCCTTTTCGTGTGTTCAGCCTTCATAATCCCATTTAGCCTCCTGCATACACTTCTGTTACTTATAGGAAGAAAAATCTATAAAACCTAGAGAAACTCTCAGTGATGTCTTCTGTAGACAAGAGCACCATCGGCAACTGCTTTTACCCAAAAACATCATCAGCTCGTTTGTGTTCTATACGCTATTTCCTAATGATTTCTTCCCTAAGACAGATATGCAGAAGTGTGTAATATTCTTTTGGCAGTGGAAGTGTTTTTGGAAACAGACACAAAGAAGTCTTGGTCCTAGTGGTAAAATAATCACTTGGAAGCAGAACATCAACAAAATCTTTTAAAATGCAAATATAATGTCTGTTGCTCAGATCATGGTAAGTCAAGAGAGAGTGCCGACTTTGGTGTGGCCAGCAGAAACAAATAAATCGCTTCATTCCAAGTTGTGAGTGTCACACACCGCGTGACATTTGATTTCTGCTTTTTGCTTTTTTTTGTTGTTTTATTTGAGAACTACACTTGAGTTGCACTACTGAGATCTGCAGAGTCCTTGAGAGGAACTCTCGTATAGCTCAGTGAAAAAATACCCTGAGCATCCACTGCGGGATTTGTGGGATCTGCTTTTGTCTCTGACATACAATACATTTGTGTTTCTCAAACAAGTTTCATTACTGACCTTCCCTTCTGCTGAAGGGGATTATACTTATTTTATGAGCATGCTGAAAATGTGTGTATGTGTGTGCTAAAGCAGACTTAATCTTATACTGAAATAATGAAGAAGTTGAGCAGTAAGGAGATACAACTAAGACTAACTATTTGTGTTTAGGGATCAACTTCGTTGTCCTGTCACTCTCCATCGTTTTTTCTTTACTGAGCATTATCATCTTCATGGCTGTTATTTGTTACTTTAAGATCCACAGTGACAGGTATGTATGATAGGGTGCTAAGGAAAGATTGTCTAGTGCTACAAAAATTAAGTACTGCTTGTATCTTGAAACCCTATGATTCTGTCAGTCTGTACTACTGCTATGAATAACTGAATTACCTACATCCAATATTTCTGTACTGCAGTTGCTGTGCATTGCACACATCTTCACTCAGTAACGCACCTGAGTAAAATACAAATGGGCAGAAGTTGGCAGAGGATCCTCATTGCATTATCTGCTACACTAAAGGGGAGCTCTTTATTCTAATAGGAAACTGGGAGAGTGAAGCTGTTCTTCAGATACTGTGATAGTATGTCAGTTTCTCTCTTGTTTAAATCAAGGTGTTGGTTCTGCTGCCCAGTAAGTTCTGTCAAGTGCTAGAGGGTTGACCAGTGCTACCCTGCCATATCAACAGAGGGGACAGAAGATTGTTTCTATATTTCCAAGAAAGCTCCTTGGATGAAGCTGGAGTCTAGTCCCAGCAGGATTTGCTGTGGAGAAAAAACAGTTCCAAGGAAAAACTATAGAAATAATTTGTGCAGAGGAAGGCTGAATTACAGAATCACAGAATTGTCATAGTTGGAAAAGAAGTCTAAGATCACCGTATCCGACTGTCAAACACCACCACACACACCACAACCACCCCCTCCCCCCCCCCAATAAAATAAACTAACAAAGAGAAAATGCCCACTAGAGCATGTCCTGATGTGCCTAATCTACATGATTTTTAAGTACCTCCAGGGATGGTGACTCCACCACCTCCCTGGGCAGCCTGTTCATGTGCTTGGCTACTCTTTCAGTAAAAAAATTCTTCCTAATGTCTACTCTAATATTAGCACCTGTACTGAAAACCTCAGCTATGTTCCTTTCTTCCCCTAATCCAAAACTGTTTTTCTCCCAAACATTCTTCCTCAGAGGTGAAGAATTAGTTCAATACAAGTTCACTAACCGCAAACTGTACATCCTTACAGTGGACTGTGATTTCAATCCTCTGCTTACAGTTTGTGCTCAGAGCTCCCACAAACATGAGAAAATACCCCTAAAGAAACCCAGAGCACCATAAATTCAGGATCAAAAGTCAAGGAGAGAAAGACATAAGAAGGGTTTTTGGCTTTACTCCAGATGACAAGAAAAGGAAATGTTTCATAAGCATGTGATCAAACAAAGCAGGCTGTGATCCAGCCAAACAGAAGCAATTCTTCCAAAAAGGAAGGAACTTGCTTTAATACTTGTTTTCTTTTCAACAGACAGTGCCATAAAACCAAACCTCTTGAAAGTGCTCCTACACTTCCCCCACAGGTAAGAAGAGTTATGCAAATTAGACCATCACCAAATCAGGGATCTTCCAGTAGCCCTGAAAACACAGTCAGTAAAATGAAACTTCGATTTTTGTTTCTGCTTTCAGCAGGTGCTACAGTGTCTTACAACTTCGCACTTAGCTGTATCTCAGGACAAAACACAGCCTTATAATCACCCTAATTCTGACTTGAAGCAAATATTAGAGGCATGTTCCAACAGCATGCCACGTTCCTACACATGCATCTAATATTTACTCCAACAGCAAAGGCTCAGCAACTGCCATCCTTAGCAAGGAGTGAGTCCCAACACACTGACCACAACTGCTGAACAAACAGTACTCAGGAAAATAGAATCACAGAATGCCAGGTTGGAAGGGACCACAAGGATCCTCTGGTCCAACCTTTCTGGGTAATAATATAGCTTAAATGATTTGGCCCAGCACCCTGTCAAGCTGAGTCTTAAAACTGTCCCATGTGAGGGAATCCACCACTTCCCTTAAAGGAAACGAGGCAATATCATATGTTGGGGAATACTTTAAAAGCTATTAGTACACAAGAGAATTGAACAACAAAATTGACAGACACAGGGGAAAAAGGAACATCCCTCTTGGTGCCCAGAATGATAATGTGCATGTTTTGAAGGCCAAGCTTTATTTCGCATGGGCAGTCTTTAATTCCCTAATCTGTAGCTGAGCAATCAATCCATCATCTCTGTGTCTCTGTTCTGTGTTACAAAATATAAATAGCAGCATTTTTATGCAGGCAAGATATGTTACATCAATATTGTGAACACCTGTGCACTTACAGTAGACACTAGGCTTAAATTTGGTCATCAACTCAAAAAGGTGTTTCAGTTTTGATTTCTGTAAAGACTTAGTCAATTCTAGTTATTCATATTCCTCCTGTTCTGCTGTCCTACCTCCCAGCTGTTGCTGACACAGTTGCATTAATATGAAATAATGAGTTAAGTACCAGTGTTCTTGCTGTCACATCATGCGACTTTGATGAGTGCATCAGTAGGCTGAAACTGCAGAGAGATGGAGGAACCAATCGCAGTCAAAACTCCACTGTATTATTTGCTCTTTCGAGATAATTAGATAATACAATTTCTTTTCAGGCCAAAAATAAGTAGGGCAGAAGGGGTGGAAAAGGAAGCAGGTGGACCAATGCCTGAGTTCTACCCTCCCCATCTTTGACAGAAACAGCAATACGTGATCTTTGGTAGAAAAAGCAAGAGAGGTTTTTTTCTTGAGTGCAAGGGGAATAAATATGGAAGCCCTTTCCTGGTTACATTCTTCAGTCCAGGTGAAAGGCTTGCAGAGTCTTGCCAAGGTAAACTACTCCCTGTGTTTACAGTTTTTTGTTTTGTTTTGCTAGGATGACACGATGGAAGTAGAACCTTATACTACTTATGTGCAGAAGGAAAATGTAATTTACAACTCAGTGTCTGATCTGACAGTGGGGCAGAATCTCCCACAAGGACTGTTGCCACCAACATGAATGATTCAACACCTGAAAGGAAGAGAGGCACTTTATAGAAGACTGGTTACAGGAAAAAACTTCTCAGAGGATTTCTTCAGATTATGAGGCAACATATCTCACTAGGTCTGTTCAAATATCTGTGCTTGCTGATGAGTCTGTGTAGATATTTTTCCCTGTTTTGCCTTCTTCCTTGGGAAAGGAAACAGGTTTCCTGTCATTCCTTGGGAAAAAGTGACTGACCTCATGCCATAGTTTCTCCTGGAAAAGTTGTGATCAGTCTTCCCTTTGCTGTTCTTGCCTCAGAGATCCTAGTTTTGTTAGTCACTTCTAGGCTTTTACTTTGATCCATTTGACACTATGTCACACACATTTGGGAGATGGGAGGAGTGTTAATTCAAAACTGTAGTGAAACACTCTTCAATCATTAGCTACTATTTTTTCTCATTCACAAATTGCTAACATAGTGACCTGAGAACTGATCATCAATGAATAGTTCAAATGGCAGAAGATAGTGGTATGGAAGACCTTTAATCCCTCAAATCTGAAAATGGAAATAAGTGATGAATTTAGAAGGTCATCCACTAAGAAAGGGACTTCACTGACATGATTAATTTACTTTTTAGGTTCATATTCAGTATTTCCTCTAAACGTGTTCATTCTGTATTTCAGATTATTGATATGAGTACTTTTCCATAAGATTCTCTGAAGATACAGTATTCCTCTATTTCTTGAGAGAATTGGCATTAAGACACTGTAAAATAATTATGTAACTCAAATCTGGTAAGCTACTTTTAACAGAAAAAACATCAAATATCTCACAAAACAAACTAAGTTCAAATATATCTTCAATAACTGTGCAATAATGTACAAAAAGGATTAAATGCTTGCTAATTCTAGTAATATTTATTTTAACTAACACAATTGAAGGTTTTTTTCATGTATGTGTCAAGATATTTTATTGATATTCTTTTAAATATACTTGCAAGTTCACTTTTTTACTGTAAATCAGCTTATATATCTTACTATTTTTCATGTTGAGGTGAGTTCTTCTCACCTTCCTAAAATATCCTTTGGGAATAAGTCAAATAAATTGTCCTCTGTATACAAGCAGTTCTTGAATTTGTTTATTGATGTCTTAGCTGAAGTAAGAGCTGACTTTGTAGTAAGAGTAAAGAAATCCATTTGTAAACCTCTGTTTACCACCTCTTATTTCAGTATTCTTAAAGACTGATGGGATACTTGTCTGATGGTAGGATTAGGTCAACTTTTTTCCTTTTTTTTTTTTTTTTGTTCCTTTATATCATATAAATGTCTTTGCCATACATTGCTAGAGTTTTCTTTTGAGGTAGCCTCTCGAGGGCTATTACCCAGTGTTAGGAAAACAGACTTGTAAATTGATTGTAGTTCCTGAATGTATTAGTCATGTAAACTGATAGAACTGGTTATTTATTCTCAGTCTAGCAGCTATGAAACAGCCACTTTTGTCCAGGTGCTCTCTGCATGAAGTCTTGTTTTTCTTTATGTCATTTTAGAATGGAAGGGATCAAAGCTGAATATCAATCAGCTACAAACAGTTTTTAAAGAAGCCTCAGTGACTTACTAACGAAGACCACCAGCCAATCCAGTTATAATCTTCTGAAATTCCCTACTTAAAATACGTGTGATACTGTCCAATAATCTTTCTTCCCACTCAAAACCAGAGTGCCATCATTTCTTTGTCTTTTTTTTTTTTTTTTTTTTTTTTCTGGGGACTGGAAAGTCATTTACATTTCAATTTGACAAATGGACCACTCGGTGGATAAGAAATTGGCTGGATGGTAGGGGGGTTGGAACTTCATCTTTAAGGTCCCTTCCAGCCTTAATGATTCTGTGATTCTGTGCTCCATGTCTATAAAGTGGAGTTCATCCTATGAGATAGCAGCTCTTGAAGGCAGATTCTTGCCAGTTTGTATGTAGTATGTTATGTTTTCAGAAGCATAATACCTGCTAACCTGCTGTCTAGCTGTAGGATTACAGGCCTGTTACACTGGACTAAATCGTGAGGATCAGGTTTGTGACCACCTGAGGAGCCAGAATATGTAAGTCTATGGGACCTGAGGAGATGTATCCCAGAGTCCTGTGGGAGTTGACCACTATAGTTGCCAAGCCACTCTCCATGATATTTGAAAAGTCGTAGCAGTCAGGTGAAGTTCCTGCTGGCTGGAAAAAGGAAAACTTTGCACTCGTTTTTAAAAAGGGTAGAAGGAGGACCCGGGAAGTACCAACCTTTTAGCCTCACCTCTGTGCCTGGGAATATCATGGAACATATTCCCCTAAAAGCTCTAATAAGGCACATGGAGGACAGTGAGGTGACTCAGGACAGCCAGCACAGTGTCAGCAGGGACAAGTCCTGCCTGATCAACCTAGTGGCTTTCTATGATGGAGTGGACAAGGGAAGAGCTATGAACGTAATCAATCTGGACTTCTCTACGGCCTTTGATGCAGCCCTCCACAGCTGCCCTGCATGGGATGACCTGGGGGTAATGGTGGATGAAAAGCTGGACATGAGCTGGCAATGTGCACTTGCAGCCCACAGGGCTGTGTCCTGGGCTGCATCAAAAGAAGGGTGACTGGCAGGCCAGGTGAGGTGATTCTCTCCCTCTACTCTGATCTTGTGAGACCCCACCTGGAGTGCTGTGTCCAGCCCTGCAGCCCCCAGTGCAAGAAAAAAATGGATCTGTTGGAGCTGGTCCAGAGGAAGGCGACAAAATTGATCAGAGAGCTGAAGCATCTATCCTCTGAGGACAGGCTGAGAGAGTTCATGTTGTTCAGCCTGGAGAAGAGAAGGCTCTTGGCTTTATTGCAGCTTTTCAGTATTTAAAGGGGGCCTATAAGAAAGATGGAGACAAACTTTTTAGCAGGACAAGGGGTAATGATTTTTAACTAAACCGGGGTAGATTTAGACTAGACATAAAGAAGACATTTTCTACAATGAGGGTGGTGAAGCAATGGAACAGGTTGCCTAGGGAGGTGGTAGAAGCCCCATCCCTGGTACCATTCAAGTTCAGGTTGGATGGGGCTCTGAGCAACCTGATCTAGTTGAAGATGTCTCTGCTCACTGCAGGGAGTGGTACCAGATGACCTTTAGAGGTACCTTCCAACAAAAACCACTCTATGATTCTACATATGTTCCAGCCCTGTACATTGTTAAGTTGCAAAGTAACTGGTTGATTATTTCCTTCATCCTCTGCTTTGTTTCACATTCAGGCCTGCTATGGGCAGAAAACCAGTTTTTAGTTTGTGATTGTGATAAATAATACGAGTTAAGAGCCTTATGTATGCACACATTCAAATATACTCTGTCCCTAGCAGCACAGAAGGTCTAGAGCAGAAAGTCCCTTCTTACACTCCTCTTTCTCCATCATAGAATCACAGAATCATAGAATGGTTAAGGAAGGGACTTGCTGCTTCTCTGCAATGTGTTGCTATTGTGCTGCAGTCATCCTCCACTCAAAAGTGCTGTGCTGAGTGTTTCTTAGCAGTCGGGAAAGCCTGCCCTCTAAACTCCCCAGCATGTTGCAGAGTTACAGGAAGAAAGGCAGCGGCTTTTTGTCTCCTCCCATACCGAGAAGTTTTGGCTTTAGCCCCATTTACCCGTGCTATCTCTTGATGCAACATTTAATTTTGCTAAATTTGTAACTCCCTCATCTACCATTGTATTTTGTCTTCACACACACATTCCAGCTT